GTTGTATTTTGGCCGACGATTGTTTCTGCAACACAAAAAATATCAACCGGCCTGGTTTTATCGATCTGGTAGAAGGAGCGAGAAAGATAGGGGGAGAGAGAGAGAGAGAGAGAGAGAGAGAGAGAGAGAGAGAGAGAGAGAGAGAGAGAGAGAGAGAGAGAGAGATGAAGAACAAAGCTGAGCTTGCTTCAAGACATCTTTGCTTCCACAGTGTTCCCGCTCATCTTTGTGATCATCTGGATGATGTTGAGAATATTCGAGAATAACGTGCTGTAAGTATACCCGTAGAATGCTTTGCGCTAATCTTATTTACTTACACCAATACACCCCCCCCCCCCCCACACACACACATTCACCTAAAAGCAACAACGGGGGGTGGGTAGGGGGAGGGAGAAGAAAAGGAATACATTGATGAGTTATTGAATGGAAAGTCTAGAAAAAGATTAGAAAATCCAAATGAAGTAAATAAAGCATTTCATTTTAAAGCTCACTATTTAATATTTTTGAACGTTTGTATTCCTGAATTGGAGCAGAGCTAAAATGTCGTACATTCTCTTTTTTTTAGAAGGCCTCTATCTTACACGACTGTTTCTTCTCAATAGTTAATCATTTCTGTTTAGTTCGTATGCCTGACTCTTTACTGTTGTCCCTCATCAGATGCTGGAATACCCATGAGATGAACTTCTACTGGGTGCTGAATGCTCCCATTGTTGCGTCCATATCGGTGAGTTTTTGGAATCACAGTTAAGAATCTTTATACACGAAGAGATACCTATACGGTATCAAGGGTCAAATGTCAAGGGATTCGACTCCAAGTCGCTTTGGATTTGGATGATTTGGATTTGACATTGTGAGAGAAATGGGACGAGGAGGGGAGTGGGACTATTAGTTCTACAATCTGTTCTTCAAGGTATTATTTTTTTCGCCATCATGTGAAGAGCACATGGGAAAAACGGGCATAGTTACAAACTGAAAATCGTGAGGGTATACATTTTGAACGCTTGTTGACTCATAACTGTATTTCTATTCAATTGTTGGTCGATATTGTTGTTTGATTTCCCATTCAACGTTTTCCCCAGGTACTGTCTCTTTTCTCTCCTTCTACCCTCTCGCCCCCCCTCTCTCCCTCTGTCTCTCTCTCTCTCTCTCTCTCTCTCTCTCTCCTCTCTCTCTCTCTCTCTCTCTCTCTCTCTCTTTGAATGTTTTCTCAAACTTTTGTGTTTCGCTTTTCGCCCTGTTTTCTCAAATTTGTCAATTACAGGGATGTTGTGGCAATTCCCCATTCTTGTACATTTCAAATATAAAGAGATAAGTGCAATATCAGAGCACACGCATATCTATATTTTCAGCAATTATGATTTTTCGATTGCACACACACACCCACCCACACACACACACACACACACACACACACACACACACACACACACACACACACACACACACACACACA